CACACACACACACACACACACACACACACACACACACACACACACACACACACACACACACACACACACACACAGATGAATACTGACATTTGAGCAGTTCACGTTTCTTAGATTTTTACTGTGCTTTTCACTTTTGACTGTACGAATAAAAACTCTTCTTTAGGCTTTTTGTTGTTTTAGCTGTTTAGATTTCAGTAAAGGCTCACTGGTAAGAATCCCCTCCTTTACCCAGCTGATAAAACCGTGCATGTAAACAAGTTTGTAGCTACTGCAGGAGGGAAAAGTTATTACCTATGATTTATAAATAAGACAATTTCATAGTTAGAAATGTGCGAAGCAGGTGGATCACAGGTCATTCAGTATAAAAACTAAGACTGCTATGGAAACACCAATGGAATGAATTAATTCAACCAGTAAGTTCAGACCCGACATATTTACTCTAAACTGATTTGTGTTAAACTTTCCTTTAAGATCATAGATGAGTTTTACGTATATAAATCAGCAGCAACTTTCAAATTCATTTAATAAAAACTGTGCAATAAAATACATGCAATTCATTAAAATACATATAATTTATAATTCAGAAACAATAAAAAACTATTCATAAATAACCCTGCAACCTATATTTTTTTCTAATTATCCATACACATCCTCAGTACCGCTTAATCCTCTCGCATTGGTAGTACTAACTCACTAACACATTCAGTCTCACACAGACTTTCTCAGCCATTACATCTGAGTACCAGAAATGAACACATCTTTGGTTTTGTATTTATTTCTTTTTATTTGATCTTTTTCATTTTGTTTATTTTGTTTTTGTATTTATTGTTATGTAGATATAACTACATAGGATGGGCAGAAGTTCCTACTAACTACTGGATCATAGGTAGTAGGTAAATGGGAGGACCTAAAACAGCACTGTAAAAAATTAAATGTTGGATTTACTTAACCATGTTATGTTACCTGGTTCCACTTAACTGAGTTGAGTAAATTCAAAGCAACATACCAGTTTTTTAGCCAAAGAAAATGAGTATGTTGCTTTGAATTTACTCAACTCAGTTAAGTGGAACCAGGTAACATAACATGGTTAAGAAAATCCAACATTTAATTTTTAGAGTGAGGGGTGTCAAACTCATTTTCACCATGGGCCACTTGAGCATCATGGTGGGCCCTCAAAGGGCCAGTTGTAATTAACGTTGATTAAACACAAAATGTCAAGAACAATAACTGAACTCTACGTGGTATTTCCTGCATAGAAACAATATTTTAACATGTCCTTTTATAAACACTGTTATACAACGGACTAAATGTGAAATAAATAATACAGAAATACTTACAAAAGTAACAATAAGAGAGTTTTACTCACTGTTGAGTTGTGGTGAGTATAACTGTGGTCTTGAAATCTTGAACTTACCCTTTGGCGTGCTGGATGGAAGTCACCATTGGGCCACATTTGGCCTGCGGGCCTTAGTTTGACACACGTGACCTAATAATCAAATATCTTGTGGACTGCTCTGTTATCTTTGTGGAGCAGATGAGAAGAATAAAATTCTAAATTAACTGAAAAACTAAATAATAAAAACGCTTTTTTATATTTTAAAATTATGTTAAAA